CAGCTGGACTACTTCAGCGATGGCAACTGAAGCCTTTGTAGTCTGCATAGTTTTCCTTTGGATGACACAAGCCAGCAATAATAGCCCAATGCAAAAAACCAATCACATATCAAACTGACTTATTTTTTCCCCACGATATCCAGAGCCAATCTTAGCAAGGTGGAATTCTCTGCTCTACAGCAGCCTTGAAGCTCTGACTTCAAGCAAGTAAATTCATCTACTTATGCTCACAGGAATCATCATAACCAACAGTAGACATCAAAACAATTTAGTGGTGCTGATAAACATACCTTACGTCCTCCATCCCATATCAACAGCTGTACCTATCTATTACTCCAAGAGACTTCTTTCCAAAGGGACAACAAATTCTGGAAGCTGAAAAATAGCCAGTTTTCCCCATTGCACTTTTCCTGCCTTTTCTTTATTAGATGTCATGGCCTTGCAATAACTTGCTGCAGATCCCCCCCAAAACAGAGCACCTTTCCAAAGCCACAGCCGTGTATGCTTCAGTTTGGATCACAGTGCCTCACCATGTCCACACAGCTGCCATAGTATTCATCGCCATGCACATATGGAAATCCAGGTTTCCAACTGTTTTTAAAATCTCTGCCTTTGAGGATACAAAGTATTTCCGCAGTAGCCATTTGTTAACTCTGCCCTGGATCATCCACACATCTTTATGGTTCTTTATGCAATGGAGACATCGTGGTATGGCGGTTAAGATGCTGGACTAGGAGCAGAGAGACTCAGAGTCTAGTCCTCCCTTAGGCACAGAAGCCAGCTGGGCAGCCTCAGGCCAGTCACTCCCTCTCAACCTCTGGCTCTGCAACATGCCAGCTGATAAACAAAGCCTCTTGTTGCCACATACACTGATAGCTTTGCTGGAAGAACTAGGCGAGTGCAGTGCAAAACCAAGCACACTCTGCAACCATATGGGACAAATGAGAAGAAGAGGAGGAGGAGGAGGAAGAAGAGGAAGACGACGAAGAGGAGGAGGAGGAGGAGGAGCAACAACAACATGAAATTGCAATCTCTACCCATCAGAGATAATCACATCTTGTATTTACATAGTCTTCTGATCAATAAGTCTCAGTGCATTTGGACTTTGAATTAATCCCATTTTCCAGGGATATAGAAGCATCAGCATATACCATAGGCACACTCTATACTGGGATGCAGAACCACACTGGAAATGCTAAAGTACCTTTTGCCTAACATGACTCCTGCTAGATGAGGCAAAAGGTTTATCTCATCCAGCATTCTTTATCACACAGCACTCAAACAGATGTCTTTAGGAAATTCATCAGCAGGGTATGAGAATGGTAGCTGTCTTCAGCTGTTGCTTCATAGGAACTCATATTTAGGGCATGTTACCTTTGATTCTGGAGGTATATTAAGTTATTTAAATGAGTTCTCTTTGATTCCTGTATATATTTTTCCAGAGGTTTTTTTTTTTTACAAATATTTTAAATTTGTGGGCAATGAATTAGTCATTTAACTATGTATGTCAAATGATGTTAAACTGAGCCTAAACTAGCTGTCACCAACTTGGACAGATGGCACTGGATTAAGTTGGCTATCCTGCATGGTTCTGCTCCCACCCTTGATGGCTTTGCATGTGCCTGTCAGGTGTGGGAAGAAATTGGAAGCAAAAGTTAAAGAGCAAACAATTGGGTAAAAAAGCTATCAGAGAACCCATCCTGCATTTATAATGTTCCAGATTGTTGCCCCACTGACTTATGTGGTATGAGAGTAGGTGGGCATAGGACATGAAAGCCCTGTTGGGGACAGTATGGGAGGGATCTGTGAAGTCTCAGGAGATACTGATGTTAAGAAACAAACGTTCACAG